CCGAGGCCGAGCCTCTGCAGGCCGGGTGTGGTGAGCGTCCAGCAGCCACTCAGAGGACCACAGGAGGGCGCCCCGGAGCTGCGCCCCCCCAGCTGTGGCCCCAGAAGTGCCCCCCCACACCCCAGGTAGGGGGCCCTGCGGGAACCCGGCATCTGTGAGTGGACATGCGGGGCTTCCCAGGGCCCTCGGGGCCTCCCAGCCCAGGGACCGGAGGCCCCTCCGTCTGCTCCCTCCGTGTCTGTCCCGCGGGGACACCGGCAGCGGCTGACAAGGCTGTGTCGGCACTCAAGGCCACGTGCGGCCGAGACTGTCCCCCACTGCCGCACAGCCCGGCATGAGTGTCCAGCCTCAGGGCCCGCCTGCCCAGGGCCCGCCTGCCGCGGCCACCCGGGCCTGCCCGCAGGGGAGAAGGCCTCTGCCTCCTCAGCCCTGGCTGGAGGTGAGTGCGTTTTCTATTAAGGGACAGATTGTTGGGAAATCTGCTGGAAACGAACTAGGTGCTGTCCTGCCTGTTAACAGCACGCAGTCGTTCAACAACACGCTCCTGTGTGAGGCCTAGAGGCTGCGGGGACAGCAGGGGCCGGCCACGCGGCGGCAGGGCACGTGGGGTCGCGTCCCAGGGCCCGGGGCGGGGAGGCGCGGGGGCCGGTCCACGGAGCAGGGGCTCTAAGCGGAGGAAGGGGGAGACCCCGGCGGGACGCGGCTGAGGCGTGGGGTGCACGGCCAGCGCGAGTGGACAGCACGGCGAGGAGCCACGGCGGCCACGCACCGCCCTCAGCGCACAGGCTTCGCTGCGGGGCCGGGAAGCCCCCGAGGCTGGTTCTCCTTAGAGTCACCTTCCTCCTGTTGGGCAAGTCTCAGGTCCAAGCTACCAGCGTCCCACCGCCCCTTTCCCTCTTTCCCTGTAGACAAATGAGTGCTGACCCCAGCTGACCTTCCCCCACAGGGGACGCGGCAGGGAGCCACGCGGCTGTCTCCAGAACGCCCGGCAGCCCCACGCCCTGGGCCAGCCCCTCACGGCCAGCGCCAGACCCCACGCACCCAGGCCAGTGCCCCGGGAGGACCGGCAGGACCGGGCGGGGCGGGCAGGCGCCCCGGCCAGGGCCCCGGGAGGACCGGCAGGACCGGGCGGGGCGGGCAGGCGCCCCGGCCAGGGCCCCGGGAGGACCGGCAGGACCGGGCGGGGCGGGCAGGCGCCCCGGCCAGGGCCCCGGGAGGACCGGCAGGACCGGGCGGGGCGGGCAGGCGCCCCGGCCAGGGCCCCGGGAGGACCGGCAGGGCCGGCAGGACGAGTGGAGCCGCAGCCCCAGCGCCTGCTCAGCACCACACCAGGCCGAGGCCTGGTCCTCCAGGCCGCCCAAGCTTTCCCCTGGATAAAGGGGACGCCACCGCTCCTGACAGCCGACAGTCCCCTCCCCGTTCGGCAAGCGGCTGCGCCTGCTGCCCGTGTGAACATGTTTACAATCTAAGGAGAAAATACCCAGCAGTGGCGGGAGCGTGTGCCACGCCTCGGATGGCACCGGGCACCGACCTTCCCGCAAGCGACAGGCCGCAGATGCAGGCACGCCGGCGACGGGCGCCCTCGACTCCTCCACCCCAGTGATAACGGGCTCTTAGCATAACGGAAGGAGCGAGAGCCCCCAGGGGTGCCAGGTCCTGGGGTGTGCGCAGGGTGGGTGCGAGGAGTCAGGCCCGCGGCGGGGTGCTGAGACGCTCTGGGCATCGCAGGTGTCGAGCCACGGCACTGGGAGGCCCCCCACCCCTTGCCAGGGCTCAACTGTGGAAGAGGGGGTGGCCGGCCGCTGCCTCGCCAGCTGGGGCCTGCCAGGCTGGGGCACCCCACCCACCCGCGGAGCTCCAGTTCTCCAGGCAGGGGGAGACAGGAGTTCAGGTGTTCACGCAGGCATGCAAAGCAGCTGCGGAGAAGAAACTCACCAGGACACTGGGCATGGTCGGTGACACCAGGTCAGCACGAGGGGCAGCCTGAGGCCTTGGGGTGGGCGAGGGCCAGGCCCAGGCCCTGACCCGGCAGTGACACCAGGGCGGTCGGGCCCTGCTCCTCATGGCCTGAATGGGTTTGGCCACGTGCCGAGCAGAATCTGCTTTCAAAGCCAGCTGCCTGGGAGACCGGGCAGGGGCCCAGTGGGGAGCTTCACCCAGGCCATTTTCTGACATTTACAGGGCCCCCAGAAGCCAACAGTGACCTGGCCCCGCTAGGACCTGCCTCTTCCTAGGAACCCCACATGCTGTCGGGCCTTCAGGGCCCCAAACATGCAACATGCTGAGCCCGCCTTGGGCTTCAGCCGGGGTGCAGGTGCCCAGGGAAACGTGAGGTGAGAGGAGGAGGGCCAGGGCATCCAGCGGCTTCTCAGAGGACCCCGAGTCCTCGCTGGCAATGGGGGAGGGCCTGCCTGCTGGGGACTGGTCAGGGCGGGTGCCGCAGGTGGTCCCGGCAGGCGGGGGAGGGCGAGCACAGCCCGGCCATTAAGGAAGGGAGGAGGCGCAGAGCTGGAGAACGGACAGGTCTCCGCGTCGGCAGGACGGGGGCAGAGGCTGAGGTCCGGTCTGGACACGGCGAGCACGGGCCGCAGGTCCGAGCGCCGGGCCGCGCCTGACCCAGCGGTGCCCA